TAATGGCCTGGGAAAGCAGCAGAAGACGGCCCGAGAGCTTGGGCCCCTGCACCCACAAGGGAGACCCGGAGGAAGCTCCTGGCTCCTGGCTTCAGTGTGGACGAGCCCTCCTGTTGTGGCCATCTGGAGAGTGAACTGGCGGATGGAAGATCAGTCTCTCTCTCTCTCTCTCTCTCTCTCTGTAACTGTGCCTTTCAAATAAATAAAAATAAATCTTTTTAAACAAAAACAAGAGAGGGGTTTTAGGTGACGTGGGGGAGCTCAGTGCTTCGACCTGCAGTAGGAACCCCCCCAGGCCCCGCGTTCACAGCTGCGCCCACTGTGCTCCACCTCACAGGGGTCTCCTCTGGCTCCCTCCCCCCTGGAGACGTCACCCCCTCCCCACCCCGTGTCCCAGTCGATCTGGGATCCATCAACTTGGAGCAGTTTAAGTGCGTGAAGCTAAATGTGTTATCATTTTCTCCACAAATTAACAGTTTCTACGTAAATATTGGTAATTCCTCGCCCCATGGAGACACCGGCACGTTTGATTTAAACTAATTAAAAGCAGAGGGTTGTGCGATTCGATCTATTGATTTTACCAGTGGGACTTGACGCTTGGAGAACAAGTGCACACAGCTGAAGAGCTCACCCAGCACCACGCGGCCAAGGCTGACCCTCACGACAAGGCTGACCCATGCGGCCAAGGCTGACCTTCACACTCCTTCCGACAACAGCGCGACAGGTTCCGCGCACCCCCGCCCGCGCCCTCACGCCCGTGACTGCCAGGGAGCCTCTAGGGGCCGCGTCTCGGCCAAGCGCCCCCAGCCAAGTCTGCAGAGGGAGCCCGCAGGAGTCAGCGTGGCCGGCCGCCTGGCCAAGGGGCTCTCCATTCAACACTGCTCGGCTGGTTACACCGAGGGGCAGGCTGGGGAAGGGTGGAGACGGGGCAGAGCCGGGACACTGTGATTCTCGCAGTGGGCCAAATATGACCTTACCAAGTGGGGGTGGGGCGATATTAAAGCGATAGCGGTGATCAATCAGCTTGGCCGGGACTCTCCCTGGAATGAAGTCATCGCTTGTCTCTGAGCTCAGTGGACACGTGAGATTCGCTCACGGCACAGGCACGCCGGTGGCCGGGGGACAGACCGCCAGCTGTGTTTATCTGGGCAGAGGCTCCGCAGCCTACCACGCCGAGGGCCGCAGCTCTCCGGGGCTGTGTCTCCTCCCTCCACGCATTCAAAGAGCCACGCCGCCCCTTTGAAGGCCTGGGTTTCATCCAGGCCACCTCCTTCCCCATCCATGGATACCACACTTTGCCACCGAACGCCAGACTGGGATCAAAACCCAACAGGGCCACCCAAGCCGGCAGCCGGGGCTCAGCCCTCACCTGCCTTGAGAGCAGAAGAGAAAGGCACACAGGACCCAAACAGTTCAAATCTGGGTCACGTACGTCCTTCGGGGGGGGGACGAGGGGGGGACGCAAATCTTTGATTTATGGAAGCAGGAAAACCAGGTTTCAAAGAAGTGATTTGGAAAGGGTCCCTAAAAACACAGCTGCCGGTGTGTTCCCACAGCAAAGGCGCCGTGCAGAGAGGGAGAAAGGAGGGGAGCCTGTGTGACATCTGCATTAACCTCTGGCTGCTCACCAGTGAGGGCCGCGCTGGAATGCGGAGCAGCCCCTTCCAAATTTTAACACAAGCCAGGTTACAGCTGCGAATGCCTGCAGCGCGCGCGCTCCCGCGAAGCACTCCCTGAAGGACATTTTTAAACTGTAACAGAATCTTTCTCTAATACTCTACAGTGGTAGGGCCTGTTCATAAGGGGCAAGAGGAACCATCTTAATGCCAAACACTTGTCAACAAAACGGACGGCCAGATGTTACAAAGCAAAAATCCCAACTGCCCGGCCCGCGCCCGCTCCGGCCGTCTCCACAAAGCCACTTTTCTACGCTCACTCCAATCGTGACGGCTTTCCAACTTTCCCCTTTTATTTATTTATTTATTTTTTTTTTCATTTCATCTCGAAGATGAAACAAACGGCACTCCTCCGGAGCCCGGCCGCCCGGCCCGTGCCGGCTCCTGCAGAAGATAGCAAGCAAACAGCCCGACGGCTTCTTCCCCAGGAGGCGCGGCCAGCAGCGGGCGGCGCGGGGCCGGGCCAGGTCCAGCTGCGGCGCGGGGCCGGGCCAGGTCCAGTCTGCAGAATCGCACCGGCCCAGGGACTGTTGGAGACAGGGCAGCCTGTTTTGAATTCCAAAATTCGGTCTGCACGGAGAAGTCGGGGGCTTGTTAATCCAAACCAGTTCACAGAGCCCGCTGTCGAGCCTAAGGGGCTGAGGCTGGGCTGGGCGTGTGTTGCAAAGGGGTCCCTGCACAGAGGGGCAGCCGAGTCCTCATTCCCAGCACCTGGTTTTGTCGTAAATCCCCCCCCTCCAAGTTCCCCTCCAGTCCGGATCCCACTCGGCCTGGCAAACCGCTTGAATTCCAAGAGGAACGAAAACCAGTTTGGCTGCAGACAGAAGGAAGAATTAACGCACCAGGCCTGCAAAAGGCTTCAGAACTCGGGCAGGGGTCCCCCACGCACTCACGTGGCCTGCAGGGCAGCGGAGGTATGCGCTGGGGGAGGGGCCCTGGGGGAAGGCCGCCTGCCCCCTCATCCCCCCAGATCCTAGCTGAGGGCCCCCAGAGCCCCCCTGTGATGAGAACGAGCGGTGATTTCAGATGAACGAGTGATTCCTCTCCCCTAGGTGAAGTGTCAGGATCAACCAGTCCTGGAGAAAACTGTGTCTCACACACCACGGTGATCCGCAACCCCGGGGAAAAACAGAGTGTCCTTCGCAGCCATCCAAGTGCCTGAACAAGTCTCCTACACACCCCCAGCCCTCCCCAGTCCCCCGGGAAGTCCCTCCTATGGAGAAATTCCGAGCGAGCGAGCAGTAGATCAGAAGAGACAGCGAGTTTACCCCCGTGCCGTCACTGCACAGAAATTAAAGGCCGACCTTGGAGGCGTCCACAGGCTGCAGCCCAGGTCTTCAGCCACCTCGTCACCTCGAGTTTAGGGACAGAGAGAGAAAGAAAACAACTCCATGCACTCTGCCCTCTGATGTGGAGTGATGTTGCGGGGGCGTCCACAAAGCCCAGAGCCAGCCCCGCTGATTAAGAGGCTCAGACAAGCAGGTCTTTGTCCCTTCGAGATGAAAGCCGCGGATTGAAAGGTGTGTGTGCAGCCAGAGGAAAGCCACCCAGCTGCGGCCTTCCCAAACAGGTCTCGGCTTGCTCCCGCTGCCAGGAGGGGGGCGGTGCAGCCAAGTGTCCAGGGGCCCCCACATAGCAACCCAGCTCTTCTCCCGGGCCGGCCATGCTGCCTGTGCCTGAGCAACTGGGTACTTTCTGCTGGGTTTTCCAGAGCCTGGACAGGAGCTGGGGATTACGGATACTTCTGTAATGACCCTGGCCAAGCTCCGGAGGCAGCTGCCGGGACCTGAGATGCCGCACTCGGTGGGAGCCACCGGCACACAACAGAACCCAGGATCCCACAAACCCCACCCGAGACACGGCCCTGGAGGACCACAGAGCCCCAAGTGCCCTCATCGACTTGTATGTACACATTCGGAATGTTGCTTTCAATAAAGACAAACATAAAAAGGGAATCGCAGGAGGAAAACAGCCCCGGCTCCCTCCCCCAGCCCCACCGCGCTGCCAGATCTTGTCCCAGTGGGACAAGCACCCATGTGACCCTCGAGGCCTGCACCTTGCTCCCTGCCACCCCAGGCTCCCCGGGAATTGCTCTCGATCAAAACCCAGGACGCCGCCTCCCCCTTGAACAGGCGGCAGAGCCTCATTTAAACTTTCCCGAAGTTATTTTGCCATCTGACCCTTCCACCCCTTCTCCGCGGAAGCTCCGGTTCCCAACTTGATCTTGGCCATTATTAAGGGCAGACAATGGCCTCCCGGGAACCTCAGGGACCTTATCTGGAGCGGGAAGCCCGGGAGGCGGATCCGCGCTTCCCGGGCGCCCCCAGCCGCCGCCATGCGCGCCCCTGTGCCCAGCGCCGGGCTTCGGTGTCCCTCGCTTCCTGGTTGACGGCGCCCGCGGTCGTGGGTCTCTTGCCCCGACTTGGTTTGGGTTTCCGCGGCGCGGCGCACACGTAGAATAAAAGCGGCTAACCCGGGCGTGTTATCTCGGAAACCAAATATTTGATCCTCAGCGCTCAGAGCGCGCTGCCGGGGGTGAGTTTGTGCGAGTCTGGTGCGTGCCTCGCGCGCCCCCACCCCGCCTCCCGGCAGCTGGGGCCGGGAACCGGGGGCCCCGGGCGCCCCCGGCGGTGTCTGCACCGAGACGCCCGCCACCCAATCGCCAGAACCGGTGGTTTGCGCGCCACACGTGATAAACGCTGAAAATGGATTCTGCCCGCCCGGGACCTATCATTACATATTTAAAATAGAAAGCTCGCAATGGCAACGGCTCTTCCCCAGCTGCGGCCGTGGGAGCCCGGGCCGAGGGGGGCGCCCGGCGGCCGGGAGAGGGGCCCAGAGGCGCTTGGAGCGCGCGGCTCGCCCAGGCTGGCGCGCCGCGAGGGGACAGGTAGGGCTCGCCGGGGAGACGAAGGGAAGGCGACGTCCGCGGTGCCGGGGCCCAGCTGCGGGGAGAGGAGCCGAGGGAGGGCGGGAAGGCGGCTTCCCCGAGCGCGGCCCTTTAAATCCAGGTAGCGCGGGGCCGCGCCGGCCCGGGACGGCTCACATGACCCAGCCCCGGCGCTTTGAACTGAGCCGCGGCCCGGCGGGTGACCTAACTCCGAGGGGGCTCCGGTCCGGTCGGCCCCTCCCTCCCTCCCAGCAACTTGCACAGGCCAGCTGAGGCCGGTCCGCCCTACCTGAGGGTGCACACGGCTTGGGTCCACTAGGGCCGAGGGCTCGGACACCCGGAGACAGCAGCTGCCGCGTTGCAACCGGCCACGAGCGGAAAGATGGGCGCGCTGGACGGGCGGAGTGGCCCCCTCCCCGGGCCGAGACGCCCCCACCGGAGACGCTCACGGCCGCCCTGCCCTCACTCACCGAGGTTCACGAAGCTCATGACCATGTCCGCGTCGGTGAGGAAGCGGCTATCTTGCAGGCTGGCCAGAGGGGGGCCCTGGGTGCTGAAGACGGCCTTGTAGGGGTAGGAGAAGCCCTGGCCGTCGGGCCCGCCGCCCTCCTCCACCGCCATGGCATTGTACAAGTCCAGCATGAACATGGGCGCCGAGTTGTGCTTGCCCTGGAGGTGGGGGCGCGGGCGGTGCGGCAAGCCCAAGATGGAGAGGATCTCCCGCTGCATCTCGCGCCGCTCCTGGCTGCGGAGGCGCCGGTGGATGAAGCTGGAGTGCACCTCGTTGTCCAGGCTGAAGTCGGCCAGGGCGGAGCGCAGCAGGAACAGGGGCGCCCAGAGCGCCACGAAGCTGTGCGGCGCCGCGGCTCGCAGCGAGCGCACGTGCATCGCGCCGGCTCGCGGGCTCCGGGCACCAGGCTCCGCGCCTCCCCAGGTGGCAGAGGGGGCAGGCGGCCGTCCACGCCGCTCGGTCACTTGCTGTAGACGGGCCCCGCTGCGCCCGCGCCAGACATGGCCCCTCCCCGGCCGGCTGCGCTCTGCCCCGACCCCCGCCCCCCACCCTGCTCCGCGCTGGCCCCGGGCCCCTTGCCCCGAGCTCGTCCGGGCGCACCGCACGGCTAGGAAACCAGCTCCGGCGAGCGAGCAAGCAGGCGAGCGAGGAGGCGGGCGCGGGTGGGAGGAGCAGCCAGCAAACCTAGGCGTCCCGAGAGCGAGCGCCGGGGAGGCGGCGAGGCGGCGAGGCGGCGAGGCGGGCGAGCGCTCCTTCCTCCGGCTGCTTTCGCCTCGCGCGGCCGCGACCCACCCTCTGCCGACCCCCGGCGGGGAGAGCGAGGCCCCGGCTCGCGCTCACAGCCCCGCGCGCCCCTGATCGCCCCAGAGGCCGCCTCCGGAGCCCCGGAGCGGTGCGCGCTGGGGCCTGCGAGCCGGGAGGCGGAGGACGGGCTTGCCCGGCCCCTCCCGGGCCGGCCTCCCACCTGCCCTCGGCCCCGCCCTCCCCCCAGCTGTGCCCAATGGGTTCATTCATTCTTCCAGCGCGCTCGGCAAATATTGACCGAGTGGCCACGGGGCGCCCGCCGCGGGACCCGACCGCGCGGGATGCGGAGGGAGGACCCCAGGCCGGCCCTGCCCCCTCGGGGGCAAGAAAGGAGGCCCCGGGCCGGAGCGATGGAGATCGGGCTGCGCTGGGAAAAGCCGGGAACGGCGCGGAGGGGGCAGGCTTTCCGGGAGGCGGCGGCCCCGGCTCCGCCTGGTCCCTCAGCCCCCTCCGCCTGGCACTGCAGCCCCGCTGGCCTGCGCGCCTCCCGGGGCCTGCCTCTCCCTCTGCCCGGAGCTCCCGCTCCCAACGCCCTGGCGAGCAGCGTCCTCTCCTGGGCTCCACCCACTTTGTTCTCTTTTCCTTAATTTCTTTCACTGTGCGGAACTGCACTCTCTACTGTGCCGTCTGCCCCGCTTAGAGCCGCGACACCCTGGGAGCCCAGCGCCCGCCCCCCCCCCCACCCCGTGCCTGTGGCCAGCCTTCACGGAATGAACAAGACCTCCCTCGGTCTGGGGTCTGAAAGCCCCAGCCCAGCCACTGTCCACCTCGCCATCGGCCCGGGGAGGAGCAGACAGCAGCAGGTGGTGACCTGGGGCCCCACCCCAACCTTTCTCCTCCCCCACCATCAGTAAAGGACCCTGTGTCCCACAGGACCCAGCCGCCTGGGAACCCGCCAGCGTCCCTCCCCCACCCCGGGCTCAGGCTCCTCCCCTGTTACCCAGCAGAGCAGAGCCTCACCCTGATGGCAGTGGGGGGGGGGGTTCCAACCTCGGCTCTGCCCCCTCCCCAGGGGGAGTGTGGGGTGCTCAGGGGGGATTGAGCTTGGAGACAGGGTTTGTTTCCTGGGGGGGGGGGGGCTCTGACAGCCTCACTTGGGGGCTCAGAGTCCGTGGAGTTCCTGGCAGCTGAGGGACTCCTGCCTCTGTTCCCCCAGGACCCCACGGTGGACAGAGAGGCCAGAGGCCAGGCAGGTGAGAGGACGCGGGTCTGCAGCCCTGGCTGTTTGCTCCCTGCCGCAGTCTGCAGGACGGGCTTGGTCCCCAGCCCCCGCCCGCAGCTGGGCCTGCACCCCCCCAGAGCCCCCGCCCGCAGCTGGGCCTGCACCCCCCCCAGAGCCCCCGCCCGCAGCTGGGCCTGCACCCCCCCGAGCCCCCGCCCGCAGCTGGCCTGCA